AGACAAAAATGATTGTTAAAAACTTAGATCAGGATAAGATTGAATTAGTACAGCAACGAACCGAAATTGAGGTTGTTAAAAAGGTTAAATATTTGGGACTCTGGCTTACCAACAAAAACATCGATTTATACCAAAATAACTACACCCCGGTTTGGAATGGAATTAAAAAGATCTGGAGGTCTGGGCCAGGATGAAATTATCATTCTGGGGAAGAATATCTATGGTCAAAATGATGGTGCTCCCAAAGTTGTTATTTTTATTTCAAACGATACCCATATTAAAAGGTACAAAAAATTTTAAAGAATGGCAAAAGGTGATCTCTAGATACGTCTGGGAAGGAAAGAAGCCTAGAATTAAGTTTAAGTTATTAACAGATGTAACAGAAAGAGGGGCTTCGCCCTACCAGACATGAGACTGTATTACGAAGCAGCATGTCTGTGTTGGATAAAAGAATGGGTAAAGCTGGAGAATAAAGAACTACTAGATTTGGAAGGGCACAATAATAGATTTGGGTGGCATGCGTATCTATGGAGGGATAAAAAGAGAGTGCATAAAGAATTTTGTAGCCACATCTTTAAAGGTCCACTAATAGAGGTCTGGGACAGATATAAAAATATATTAGAACCGAAAACCCCACATTGGCTATCCCCGTTGGAGATAATAAGTGTAAAGAAAGTTAATATGAGAGAAAAGTGGGGAAAGTATGGAGAAATGGTTACTAATGAAGGAGGGAAGTGGAAAGTAAAATCATACGATCAGGTTAAAGTATTTACATATGACTGGCTGCACTATTTTCAGATAAATGAAATGTTTAAAGAAGAGGTGAAGGAAAGGGGTTACGAGGAAAAGGAATCGGAATTTCAAAAAGAGATAATAAACAACGAATATAAAAACCTGTCAAAAATGTATAAAATATTGTTAGAGTGGAACACGAAGGATGAGGAAGTAAAATCTGTCATGATACAATGGGCAAGGGATTTCGGCTATAACATTCAACTAGAGGATTGGGAAAAGTTATGGAGAGTGAACATAAAATTTACGGCATGCACGTTACTGAGAGAAAATGTGATGAAGATGCTTTACAGGTGGTATATGACACCTGTAAAACTGGCTAAGATGTATAAGGCAGATAACAAATGCTGGAAATGTAAACAAAAGGAAGGGACTTTCTATCATCAATGGTGGGAGTGTAAGAAAGTTAAAAGCTTCTGGGATGAAATTTACAACGAAATGAAAAAGATGTTAAGTTACACTTTTGTAAAAAGCCAGAAGCCTTTTTATTAGGCATTGTGGGAAAGGATATCAAAAGGAAGGATTGCAAACTCTTCCAGTATGCGGTAACGGCAGCCAGAATTGTGATAGCTCAGAAGTGGAAGCAGGAAGAAATCCCAACGATAGCAGAGTGGAGAGTAAAACTGACAGAATACGCTGAGTTGGATAAATTAACAGGGAAAATCAGATATACTAAGGATCAAAAGTTTATTGAGGACTGGGGGAAATTTGTGGGTTATCTGGAGAATAAATGTTTTGTAAATACAACGCTAGTGGGATTTAAAGAGGCACTGTAAAGAATTAATAAGTATTGTTTAATAGAAATAATGTATGAAGGAAGGAACGAATGGCAATATGAAAGAATGGAATGTGTTTTAAAGATATAAATACGAATGAATGTCAATGACGCTGAAGGAAGTTCAAAATGTATGAGATATATTGAAATATGGATATACTGTTTAAAAAATGGGAAATCAATAAAATTTTTTAAATATAAAAAAAAAAAAAAAAAAGAATATATGGGGGGGGGATTTTGCACACTTGAAAACATTGGCAGCATTAAGATAAATTCAACAGTGTATTTTTAAAAAGTTTTTTATTTATACTTTTCAAATTTATAAATTTAATTAGTTTTACAATCAATTTAACATTTCAAAATTTGACTTCCTTCCCCCTCTTTCTGCGCTACATTGGCTCCCAGTACGTTTCCAAGCACAATTCAAAGTGTTGGTGCTGACCTTTAAAGCCCTAAATGGCCTCAGTCCAGTATACCCGAAGGAGCATCTCCACCCCCATCATTCAACCCGGACACTGAGGTTCAGCTCCAAGGGCCTTCTGGCAGTTCTCTCCCTCAGGCAGATATAGTATGTTTAAGCTGAAGAATGACAAAGAGAAGGTGCTGTAGATCACTGTCAGTTTTTGATATTGGATGGTAGATCTCAGTCTACTTGTGGTTGGACATGCCTGATCTAGAAGATATAGATGATCTGATTAGAAAAATAATGGGGTTGAAGGATGGAGTGGGAGGAAAGTTTATTTTGAAGAGTCTATTTCTGTGTTGCACCAGCTGCAGTTGATAACAAAATGGATTGTGTTTTGTTGATTAATAGCTATTATTTTCTTAAAAGAAGCAAGACCCCCCCCCAGGTTAATTAGTTAAGTCCCCAAATGTTCTAGACTCCATTATGAAGCATCTCAACTTGTTGGTTCCCAACCAAGGCCAGGGACACATCACAAGGGCAGCCACCACAGACCCACACTGACAACCACAGCTCCCAGTAACTCACACTATATTTGTCCTCTTGGGGGCTTCCCACTGGGGCACCATATCGGCTACTGGGAGAAGAGGAATCTGGACTAGATGGGCCTCTGGATTTGCATTGCCTTGTCGTGAAGACCGTTTAAGATAAGAGGACACCATTTTCTGTTCAACTCTTATGATGCCATCTTGGTTTAGTGATTGTAACATCATGACTGGTCTATATCATTCAGCTGCATGTTCCTCTCTGGGGCTCTAAATGGGGTCTTGTTTTGAGTGTGACTTTTTGGATGTGAATATATGAACTTGTCGGACTCCTTATTAATTGCTTTTCACCTAAAATAGGAATCAGTTGGGTCTTCAGAAAGTTAAACGAATAGTATAAAGGAGGTCATGAGCATTACAGTGGTGCCTCGCAAGACGAAATTAATCCGTTCCACGAGTCTCTTTGTCTTGCGAAGCACGGCTATTAGCGGCTTAGCGGCTATTAACGGCTTAGCGGCTTTAAGAAAAAGGAAACAAACTCGCAAGAACTCGCAAGACGTTTCGTCTTGTGAAGCAAGCCCATAGGGAAATTCGTCTTGCGGAACGACTCAAAAAACGGAAAACTCTTTCGTCTTGCGCGTTTTTCGTCTTGCGAGGCATTTGTCTTGCGAGGCACCACTGTACTTCAAAAATGGGGAAGAGCTGCAGCTCAGGGGAACAGCGTCTGCTTTTTCCAGGTTCAACCCCCTCATCTCCGCTGGGAAAGGTGCCGGTCTGAAATCCAGTAGAGCCACAGCCACTTAGTGTAAGTAGACACTGCAGAACAAGATGTCCCTGCATCTAAAGCACCAATGCAGCTCAATCACACACACACACACACACACACACACACACACACCAGTGCATGGCATCTCCAGGATTGACTTTCTGTTCCCACAGTTCAGGGAGGCCAGAGCTGAGAGATGTTGTGTTGTGTTTGAGAGGCCTGCTCCTTCCTGATTTGTTTTCCTGCTGCCTCAAGAAACCAGTTGTTGTTAATTCAAGAAAGTTCTCTGTCAAGGCTTCCTGTCCCAGGAAGGGACAAACGAACTGCCCACCCACTGCTCTGGTCCCCATGATGGAGGCAGAGACACATTATCTCCACATTGCAGATCCTCATAGCAGTAGAAGTTGTGGCCCTCCAAGAAAGCTGAATGGTGGGAGATCCAGGACAGATAAAAGCATTTCGTTGTGCAGCACATAATTGAGCTATGGAACTCACTGCCACTGGAGGCAGAGATGGCTACCGGCTTAAAATCATGGAACTGCAGAGTTAGAAGGGACCACAATTGTCACCTAGTCCAGATCTCTGCAACGCAGGAATCTTTTGCCCAACGTGGTGCTCAAGCTGGTGATCCTTAGATTAAGACCATCATGCTCCACCCACCGAGCTGGGGACAAGACAAGGGGACAAATTCATGGAGCACTAGGCTGTGAAGCACAATGGCTCTGCTCTGCCTCCACAGTCCAGAGGCAGCAGGCTTCTAAATCTTGTCAGCTTCACCTATGAGCCGGTGCCAACGACTGGGCTCAACCTCTTCAGCCCCGACTGGGCCAGGCGAGCTGGGAAAGCACTTCCAGAGACCTTCCACTGCCGGGAGCAGGTCTAAGTGCTGTGGACTCACAACTCAGAGCTGTGAGCACCAAACTCAGTGCCAAAGTCAGCCGAGCGCAGCAGAGTATATATTACACGAACGACGGCTCTGAAGCATAACTTCTTTATTCTTTTACAGCTACTGCAAAACTAAAATAAACTACTAAAGACTATCGGAGACGCTGGACTGCATGAGTGTTACAGTTGCTTGAGCGGTCACCTTATCTCTATACAGTGGTACCTCGGGTTACATACGCTTCAGGTTACACACTCCGCTAACCCAGAAATAGTGCTTCAGGTTAAGAACTTTGCTTCAGGATGAGAACAGAAATTGTGCTCCGGAGGCGCAGCAGCAGCAGCAGGAGGCCCCATTTGCTAAAGTGGTGCTTCAGGTTAAGAACAGTTTCAGGTTAAGAACGGGCCTCTGGAATGAATTAAGTACTTAACACGAGGTACCACTGTACAGATAACACTCAGACTCCTTTTGAAGTCAGGCTGGAGCGGAAGAAGCGATGAGCAAATCCCACCCTCCTTTCTGAAACATTGTCAGCAGATTCTTGCAATGGGAGGGGTGAAATATCCACAGATCTCAGATGCTGGAAACTGCAAGGGGGGGGAGGCTGGTTTTGCTCTCTGGTTCTGCTTGCAGGTTTTCCACAGGCGTCTGGGTGGCCCCTCTTGGGCGCTGGACCAAATGGGCCACTTTTGTGTCCTTCCATGGGGTGAGTGGAAACTCACAGGGAAACTTGTGATGACACACAAACATCACCATCATATAGGGGATGGAGCAAGGGGAGGTGGCCCTCAGGCAGGTGGGGGGCGGCAAAGGTGTCTTTATTTTGACATGTGCCACTACCCCATGGGAAATGCAGGAAAAGGAGAACAGGCTGCACAGGTCAGTAGTCGGCGGCCCTGATAGTGGAGCCAGGGAGAGTCCGGCCTGATATATGAGGGGTCAATTCCACAGGCATTTGTTGTTCTAGCTCTTAGTATCCCGGGAGAGAAATCAGATGCAGCTGGTGCTGAAAAGACCCTCCTTGGGGGAGCATTGTGCATTTGGGGTGGGGCTGAGGAACACAAGGAAGGTGTCCTGCGAAATGTATAGGGCAGCCCAGCCCATGGGGCCCCCTCCGGAAGCTGCCGGACTGCAGCTCCCATCCTCTGTGTCTCCTGGCCATGCTGGATGGGTCAGAGGGGAGTTGGAGTCCAGCATTATCCAGAGGACACCCCATTTGATGCCCCTGATAGACAGAATCCAGCCTGTAAATACGGAACGTTAATGCATCAACCCTAAACACATATAACTGGGCCGAAGCCCCACTCAATGCAATGAGGTTTATTTCTGACAACGTGTGGAGATGGGGAGGCTGTATTTGCAGAGGGCATTTGAAGCTGACGCGCTGTTCAATTTTTTTTTATTTTCTTCCCATCTGAGGTCTCCAGAGTAAGGAGCTATCTTGCCTGATGTGGGGGAAGGGGTTCATTTTTTAGTCATTTATTAAGCCAATTATGCATGCATTTTCACAGCTGCATAAGGTCTTGTGGGGAGAGGGAGGTTTCGTAGAATTGCAGGGTTGCAAGTGTCCCTGAGGGTCATCTAGTCCCACCCCCTGCAGTGCAGGAAACATTTGCCGAACGTGGGCCCCACAACCGTGGGATTAAGAGTCTCGTGCTCTGCCAAATCAGACATCTCAAAAGGAAAACAAGACTGAAGGTGAGGAAAAGATGATTTATTGGGACTGTTAAAAGTGTGACTGTCTCTTTAAGAAGAAGTAAGCTGCAGAGGGAATTATGGGGAAAGGAAGGAAAATTAATCTTCTCAAAGAAGCCCTTGAAAAACTGCCCAAGGTTCTCCTGGTGGGTAAATGTTTTTTATATCAGTCACTCTGGTCTGGAGAGAAACTCCTGCTGGGCCTGAGAGGCAGATTTAGTCTCCTCAGGAGATACTGAGGGGGGTTTTATATTTCCCCAGATAAAAGAAGGGGAGGAGGGTCTCTCCCGAGAACGAGACTCCTGAGAACGTGTAGAGTTCGGCTCCTGAGTCGGAGTCAGAAAAAGACACACGTCCCCCTTCATAGTCCAGCGTCACCCGGATCCTCCTGGGCTCCTCACTCAGGGACAGAGGAGAGTAAGCAGGGGATGAGTAGGCCAAGTACTCCCCTCCCGGCTTCCCCACAGCCCAGATCCCTCCCTCAGGGCTAAGGGAGAAGCTGCCCTTTCTCCTCACAGAGTTCCTGGCGACCCCCACAGCCCACCATCTCCCACTTCCCACAGTGACTTCCCAGAAATGTCTGCCTGCTGTGAATCCCTCACGTCCCAACACAAAAGGCCAGTCACTGAATCTCTCAGGATTATCAGGCAGGGCTTGAGGTTTGTCTCCCTTTCTCACGCTTTTCCCATCCTTGGACAGGATGAGTTCAGGATGGGCTGTGTCTGGATCCAGAGTGACATTTGCTGTTGGGAAGAAGATGAGGGAGAGAGAAGATCAGGCAGAGTCAGCAGAGAGAGAGAGATGGACATCCTAATCCAAGAAACACCCCAAAAACCCAGATTCCCTTTCAGGTCAAGGGGATTTCTTCTGCATCACATGGGACATTGAGACGCCTCCTTGCAGACTTTGATCAGAATAATTCCAGGCATTTTCTAAGGGGAAAAACCACCCAGGAAACCTTTTACTCAGCTCTTCTGTGTTATCTAAGGGGAAAGAGAGGAGAATTGGAGGAGGCAGGAGAGGAGAGAAGCTGCTTTCCTCTGACAATCTCTGTGGGAATTGGCCTTTGGGGACCTCTGGGTTGGGATGGGGGATGAGGACCCCCATGTAATAATAATAATAATAATAACAATAACAATAATAATAATTATCAACATTTGCATACTGCCCATCATATATAGGTCTGAGGGTGGTTCACAGCATAAAAATACAACACAAAACCACATAGAGGCTTCCCCTCACTTTTGCATGGGTTATGTTCTGGGCCCTCGTGCACAAAAGTGAAAATCGTGTTAAGTGGGGAGCCTGTTTATTCCTGCTCTCCATCTCTCTCACCCACTTGGTCTCTCCTTGCCTTCCTCCCAACCATCTTGGAAGTTCAGGCCTTGCTGCCAGGGAAGAGGAGGCAGGTGGCAGGGCAATTTTACAAAGGACTGCTTATTCCATGCTTCTCTTTGGGATTTCATATATACCTTAAGACTAGTTCCCTGAGAGAAGCGGGGAATAACTCAAAAGGTTACCAGTTTGGGGCTGAGACAGTCATGCTAGGCAAGTGCTGCCCTATTTTGAAGAGCAAGAAAGAGGACACATTGGCCAACTTTGACTTTTAACCATGGTTCGCTATGACGACTCTCAGTTGAAATACCCCTACTATATGTAGGCTGTAGTAGGTGTGATATATTGCTAGTAGCAATGCTCTTAACTTTCAACAACAAAAGAATAGTAAGAATACATATAGCTCCCTCATTTGCCACATGAAATATTTGGGCACATGTTCACATCTTTCTGAATGTAGGTGTGCACAGAACAATTTATTAACCTGTTGAACATCTGCATGTGGACTCTCCTTAAGGGCAGGGGGGTCTTAACTCTTGCCCTCCCGGACTCCTCCTCCAAGATCTTGTAGCTGAGCCAGCGTCCTTTTGGTTCAGCCACAAGAGAAGGGATTTTTACAGTATGTCGCTAGCTTAAGATGCAGCTTTGTTGTGATTCTCTGCTGCAGATTAGCCTAACTGGGTGCCTTAGATCTGACGCTAATGCAGGCATAGGCAACCTCGGCCCTCCAGATGTTTTGGGACTACAACTCCCATGATCCCTAGCTAACAGGACCAGTGGTCAGGAATGATGGGAATTGTAGTGCCAAAACATCTGGAGGGTTGAGGTTGCCTATGCCTGCTCTAATGCAATATTAAAATTTTCATGGGTTCTTGTAAACCAAAAACAACAAAATAAAACTTGGGGACATTCTGCCAAATTTTAAAAATCTGCCCCGATACAAATTTTAAGAAATTTTGATCATGAAAATAGAAGACATGGCTAGGAAAAAGAGGACACATGGCAACCAGGCCTGAAAAAGGTCACATGATGGAAAAGCAACCCAACTCTCTCTAGCCAGGAGTAAAACTCTTCCCTCCTCCGCCTGATCCTTCTGGGAAGTTTCTCTCCCCCCTTCAAGTCCACCCTCTCTGCCTTTGTGGCACAAACAGCAGGGCTAGAGTCAAGCTGTGGATGGTTCTGAACTGTACAGAAGAGACTCTTGACCTCCCATGAAACACTAGTCGTCCCGTCCCCCCGTGAACTGGGGTCTCCATGTGAATTTTACCTCTCTGGAGACTTCTGAGTGACTGGACATCTGAGGAAGCAAAAATATAGGCTTAATGGTCTACAGTGCAATAGTTCAAAGAAAATCTTTTTACAAAACATCACCATAACATAGCATCTGTTGTTTCCTTATTTCAAGCAAAAGATGACATCATAAAACAAGTAATTGAAAGACAACAACTGTAGGCCTAAGGAATTAAAACAACTAATGTGTTTAGCTATTATTCCTGCATTGCAGGGGGTTGGGCTAGATCAGGGGTCAGCAAACCTTTTCAGCAGGGGGCCGGTCCACTGTCCTCAGACCTTGTGGGGGGCCGAACTATATTTTTTTTTGGGGGGGGGAATGAACAAAATCCTATGCCCCACAAATAACCCAGAGATGCATTTTAAATAAAAGGACACATTCTACTCATGTAAAAACACGCTGATTCCCGGACAGTCTGCGGACCAGATTTAGAAGATTGGGCCAGATCCAGCCCCCAGGCCTTAGTTTGCCTACCCATGGACTAGATGACCCTTAGGATCCTTTCAAACTCTACTATTCCATGACTCCATGGGGAAATCAGAAATGCTAAACCATACTAGAAAATGGTGGAATACAATCATTCAGAATCCACGAATGAAATGGGAATCTGTACTGAATGGCTGGAGGAAAGTTAACATCAGCGCCAAGTGAACTGGTGGGGAAAAGCTCTTGAAAGCGGAATTTCCAAGCATGCTGACAAACCAGATTGCAGAGGAAGAAGCTGCAGAGCTTTGCCATGTAATTCCAAGGGTCTCGTGCAATGGGAAGTCGTCTCTCATGGAATGGGGCTGATCTCATAAGAACAGTGGGAAGTCTCAGGAGATGGGGATGGCTGATGAGGTTGAAACTGAGGAGGAGGCAGCTCAGGCCTTGCTCTGCTGCTGGGAGACCAGCCTGGCCAGGAGGTGGAGGAGGGACTGGGTGCTTGCGGGTGCCCCTTTAACACACTTCACGAGGGGGAAATGCAAGCAAATCTAGAGAAGCCGCAAAAGAACCTCTCCAGATTGTGTGGAGGGAAAACAAAATGCAAGGGAGGTTCCCTATACATGAGACCTCGAAAACAGGGACACTGGACTGACCCTGCAGGATTTTTCTTAAGGGTTTTGTAAGACATTGTAAGGCTCTGAGGATTTTCCTTACAAACAAGCAGCATACAGATTTTAGGAAATAAATTGAGGGTGAAACCAGGATACTAGTCTATAGGCAGGAATGGAACTCAGACTGGTGTTCAGGTTGTTTGCAGGGACAAGCTCTGCCCCCAATCCAAGCCTTCAACCTCCCTCCCAGTTCATTCATGGGACAGACAAAGAACCCAAACACCACTAGAGGACTGTTACCCAGAGTGACGCCATTGATGGGGGTCCCAAAGTCTGCGGAATGGACAGGAACACCCATGAAATATCAGTCCCCATCCCTCCTGTCAAATTGTTCCTCCCCTGGAAATTTACCTTCCGGAATCTGTTTTCTGTATAACACAGCATCTGAGGAAGCAAAAAGATATAAAGTGTAAGGGCAACACTCTTCCACCTGAAATAAATCTCCATACAAAAGTAACACTTCATAATGTGGCATCCTTGAATTGACTCCATTCAGAGCAGGACAACCCCAGACTGTGTAGACTGCTAACCAAAAGGAAAAGGAGGTTCCATATAACTGAAAACAGATACAGGCTTTCTTTACAGGATCCAGGGTCACAATATACACGGGCCATTCTAGGGGACAGGAAATGAAGGCTGGAGCACCAAGAAGGAAGGTATCCAGGGGTTATTAAATTCCATGCAGTAAGAGCCTGGCATGTTCAGTTCTGAAGAAATAATGGAATTCCATGTGTGAAATTCTGGCAGCCATTTTTCGTTACCTTTCCATTGTTTCATTGTATCCTCCACAAGGTGATTTAGATCACAGGATTCCAAGATCCTGTTCCTCACTTCTGGAGGGAAAGGCAGTGGGTTCTCTGGACTCTCTCTTTTCTCATACCTGGTGAAAATAAAAACAATGAATGGCCCCATTGTGGCCCCGTCTCCCTAATTATTGCAGGAGATCTCAATAACATGAACAAAGTTGAATTTTTTTCCCCAACAGGTAATTCAACATGATCTGTTGACACCCACCTCCAAGCCCTGGCCAATGGCTTCGTAAGGATGCTAAACAGCACAAGGGACAAGGGAAACCCTGTGCGACATCACCGGAGGCCTCCCATGGCTTCAAACTCTGCTGCCCCATAACAACTTTCTGAGAAGGTCCCAGGACGTAAGGGCCAAACCCCTGAAATGGAGTGCCTGCAATCCCTCCCTCCCTGAGCCTCTCTAGAGGATGTTAGAAGAAGAAGAAGAAGAAGAAGAAGAAGAAGAAGAAGAAGAAGAAGAAGAAGAGGAGTTTGGATTTGATATCCTGCTTTATTACTACCCTAAGGAGTCTCAAAGCGGCTAACATTCTCCTTTCCCTTCCTCCCCCACAATAAACACTCTGTGAGGTGAGTGGGGCTGAGTGACTGGCCCAAGGTCACCCAGCAGCTGCATGTGGAGGAGCGGAGACGCGAACCCGGTTCACCAGATTACGAGTCCACCGCTCTTAACCACTACACCACACTGGCTAGTTAGTGATGTCAAAAGCTGCCAAGCGGTCAAGGAGAACAACCTCCACCCTCCCTGCACCCCTCTCTCACACAGGAAGTGTGCAACCCCATGCCCCATGGGACTCTCCCTCCAGAGGCATCAAACAACCTGACTTTCACCCCCCACTCAAGACCACCTTCAGCCTCTCACATTGGAAACACTCCCAAGAAAAAGAGCCAACCCATTCTAGACAAACAGACTTTCCCTCCCTAAGTGCCTCAAAGGGGCTGTGTTACCAGAGTTGGGGGGGCTTCCAGTGGGACGTGGAAATATATTGGTACGTCCTAAGCTGTTCCCAGGGATCTTTGGCACTTTCTCTTCTACATGTTTGAAATTACCAAAGTCAATGAACAGAAGGTGGAAGAGAAAGAAAAGAGCCCCCATCCCTGTGTGAAGTGATGTGGGGAGGGAGGGAGGAGGCAGCTGACCTTGATCCTTGGAGGGAGAATTGGGGGGCTACAAGTTCAGAAGAGGGGGCCCTGCTTTTACCTGTGAGGTGCCTCAGGGAGTGAGTCCCACAGTCTCCCCCCTGCAGCCCCTGGAGGGCCATGTCTGAGGTTCTTGCATCCCGGCCTCATGGAGTGATGCTAATGGAAATGAGCAGGATCCACTTACCTCTGCAAGGTCCTTCTCACATCCTAGAGGGGAAAAGAGAAGGGAATTCACTGCACACCACAGGCCACACTAGGAAGACCCCCTCAGACCCTGGCCCTCAGATGTCAGTCTGCCTGGCACATGGCAAGGTTGTGGGCAGGGATGGTGGAATCAATAAGTTTTGGTTTCTCACAGCTTTTATTTCTCCAGTCTGAAATTATTAATTTTTCCAGTATCAAGTTCTCCACATTTCCACATCTGTTTACAATTATTTTTTAAGAATCCTTATGAAAATCCACCAGCATTTTGGGGAAATTTAATATTTGTGGGTTCAGGAGAAGATTCCATCCCATCTCTTGTCTTAGATTATAATTTATTAACTTTAATCCCATTTGCATTGTGCAATTCAGACGTAAGGAAGCCTACAAGTTAATCCTACCAGGGAACTGTCCCAAATTGTCTTCCATAGAAGTCCCCAAATTTCAAATTCTACTTTCCAACTGGAAATAAAAAAGCACCTGCAGAATAAAATGCCTCCAAAGGGGTAATAAAACAGCTCAGTGTTTCTTTGGGCTCATCCACACTTCTGCTTTTCCTGTGCCCAGAAAACACGGGTCCAAGTGGTTTTGCCTTTGCCCTGCCGCTTTCCCTCAGGGAAAACCTGCTCCTTAGTTCAACATCAAAGCAAACGTCAGTCTGGATAAAACCTGGCTGATGTTTGCTCTCATTCAGCAGCAAACAGCGGGTTTTCCTTGAGGAAAGGGGTGGGACAAGCAGCAGTCTGGATGAGTCCCTCTGTCTTGCTCTTTCGTCACTGTGACTGAGCACCATTTGGGGCTGACCTGGATCCACTGTGAAGGTGATCAACCCAGAAGTTGTGGAGGGAACGGGAAGAGAAGCTTCGTCAAGAGACTGGCTCATGTTGGAAGGAGGCCTGAATCCTCGCTGAAGCCCAGCCCAGGGCAGGAAGGCAGCATTGCCAAGAAGGAAGGCATTTGGAGACAAATCATCAGCAAAGAGCAGAAAACCACCTCCTGTTCCATCGAGAACACAGAAGAATCTCTAGTCTGCATTCAGGTGAGTTAAGCATCCCAGGTCTCTTGGGTCTTCCTGTCCATTAGATACCTGACTAGAAGCTCCATCATCTGAGCCCCTGCACTCCTTGTATACATGAAAGGGGGCACATAAAGGATTGGAGGCAGCCTCTTCCTGGAGCCTTGGGCTGCTCCTGCCACCGTCTTACCTGTAGGAGTTCACTCGCTGGCTGCTGACCCTTTTCCTCCATCTCCTGGATGATCCTCTCAAGAGAGGAGAGTTTCCTGGAGAGTCTGGCCAGCTGCTCATCCCTTCTCCCTGCAATCTCCTTCTCCACCTCTTCCACATGAGTCAGCAGACCTTCTTCTTGTTCTTCCAGGAACTGGCGCAGTTCTCTGAACTTCTCCACAATCTCCAGCCTCTCCGTTTCTGTTAATTTCTGCAAGAAAAGAGGAGGTCTGAGTGTGTTTGGTGCTTAGCCTCGAAACAGCAGAAAGAAAATTACGAGAATTCCACAGGGAGGACACTTCTGATTTTTCTATAGACATGAAACCTCCAGTGGCTAAAGAAGTAAACCTTTATTTTGAGGGGCGGCCTCTCCATTGCTGTTTCTGTTGACTTCTAGTTTGCAGACGGATACAGCCTAAAGGAAGGAGTTCTTTTTTCCTAGCCACGGATGTTCCCTGCATGTTTTGGGGCATGGCATAACCAGAGTTCACAGTTGTTCAGAGAACATCCAGGGACATAAAACACCCCTCAATTTAGGCTGGGGCCATTTAGGTGTTGGAAGGCAACAGAAACAGAGGAGGAGGAGGACAAAGTGCAGAGTTCATCCCCATAGCTCCCCTGTTTTCTTTAAAGGTTCATAATGGCCTGAGTTTACTTAAAATGAACAAGAGCCCACATTTAGAAAGACAATTCTTTAGTAATATTTATGGTAAATCAGGATTTGGTTTGAATTGCTTCCACCCTTTCAGCTCACAAGTCCTCATGTTGGGATATCTGATCCCAGGGTCCGGATCCAGTCACCTCGTACCCTCGCCGGGAGTGTGAAGGACTTAAGCAACACCAGGGTGTGGTTTCACAGAGAAAAAGTTTATTGCAAAGTCTGCGCAGAGGCAGCCAGCGGAATAGCTTCCAAATACTGGCGGCCCCTCTATTGTGTCTTACAAGCATTCTTAAACCCAGTTGCAAGCTTGTTTCCTCAATTGCTCCCCAATCAGCTGGCAGAGATACAATTCATTACCTTATTAGGTTAGCTAAGCCCCCTTCCCCCCCCTTCTATATGTTATTTGCTTTGCATTCTATATGTTTGCATACCTAGCATAACTGAAGCAGGAAGCCAGGCAGGAAACCACTGCTGGCCTACATACATGGTGGGGTTAACCCTTCCCTCTCCCTTCACTCAGGCTTCTTCTTCGACTGCTATTCACATAATAAACGATAAGGGGAAATAAACTCAATTTAGCGGCATTCAAAGGTGAATTTGCCTCATTTGCTCTTGCTGAAAAAATATGGAGACCAAAACAGAGCTTTAAAATTCTGATATTTTCAAGCTTCACCCAGCCAGGTAATATTCACAAAAAATGTATTTATGAGGGTAAAGTACAGATCAGAATATTTATACAAGGAGGTAGCTACCCTAACATCTGATTCATTTTCAGAACAATAAATTAATAAACAGACTGATATGAAAAATGAGAAATGAGGAGAAGCTGAAATGGGCAGATTTCCCCATCACTTCTCAGTCCTGACTCGATTCTTCTTCTTCTTCTTTATTGAATTTATATACTGCCCTATACCTGGAGGTCTCAAGTGCTTGTTCCCTGTCTAGTAACAACAGAGACACTTACAAGGAGGTCTTTGCTTTCCTTGTCCAGATCTGCTTGATGGGCCAGAATTTCCTCTCTCTCTTTCCTCAGAATCCCCAGGCGGCGACAGATCTCTCCCTAAAGAGAAAAGGGAAACTCAGCTTTGATTGAGACACACAGAGAGATGAAAATCACAATGGCTTCTTGCGCCCAGTGGCCTTGCTAGAATAGCAAAGTAGTTTCCTGGAGGAAATAAAAGTACAGACAAACTACATACTTTCTGCAGCACCCCTGTGGGGCTCAGGATCCCAGTTAGGTCCCCCCTTGCCTGCAGAGCTGGCAGCCCCTCCCCTTTTCTCAAACACCCTCCCTTGTGGAGCGATCTCTCAGCCTCCTCTCCCTTCCTTGGGAGTCCCAGCCTGACTTCTCATCTTGAGGTCTCAGGGAGAAGTGGGAAGAGGAGGAGGAGGAGAAGGAAGGGCTAAGGCAGGATCCAACCTGGGATGTACCAGTCTAGCGTCAAAGAGATAGTGAGGTCAGCCCAAGAGGCGAGAGGTGCAGGGATAGAGCAGCGCTTCTCAAAACTTCACCCATTCCAAACCCCTCTTTTGGGTCAGATGGCAATTCTGGTTTTCTGCTATTTGTCAGTTATTTTCTCTGCAGTAGCCAGAGCCCACGTGTGCTTGGGCCACCAGGGGAGATTTAAGTGCTGCAGCTTCTTCCATTTCTGGGCCAAAGAAGTTCTTGCTGTGGCCAGAATCCACCCAAGTAGCTCCTTCGGTCAGAAGATTGCTGTCTGGTCCTCCCGCCAGTTCAAAGGGACCAGCTTTTTCCCCACTATTATTACTATTTCGTGGCATTAGTAGCACTGCTTGGCACAGGAGCATTTTTGCACCACTGTAGTGGAACAAGTGATATTTTTAAAAGGGATTAAAATTAAAAGGCATTATATATATATATCCCTTGCCCTGCAGTTGCTACTCTGAATCACTGAGTCCTTTGCCATTTGGGATGGGAGGAGATCCTCAGCTCCCCCACCTGAAACCTCATTGCACAGCCCCCCCCAATAAGCGTGCTCCCCACCAGTAGGTGCTTCCACTCCACTCTCTGCTTCCAAAAGATTTTTTTGTGGGGGGGATCCTGCACCGCCTGGTCAATTCCTGGCCATCCCCCCCCCCGCTGATCCCTTGCTGCGCTCTGTTTTGCAGAGCATTGAGGAAGCATCCTGCTAGCCAAAGGAGACATGTGCTTAGTCGTCTATGTGCCATTTACATTTGTACTGTTCTTAATAGTACAAAGCAACCTTGCTGGAGGATGTGGACGTGGTTAACCCTTTCTCTCCCTGCCAAGGTCCCAGTTCAAATCTTTGAAGCTGCTGTGAGTATTTCAAGGGAAGATCCTTTTGTCCCCCTGGCAGAGAGAAAGACTTCAGCTTCCCCCTCCAGCCATCCCAGGAGCCCTCAGGCTTCCCCTGGGCTGCTTCTAAGGTAATAAACAACCACCAATTCATGCCATGCCTACTTTGGACCTGAGAATTCAAAAGCAAACCTCCCAAGAAGAATCCACAGCTATTTATTTCTCCCCCTCCAGATCCAGGGATCTCCTACCTTGTATTCCTGGAAAGCCTCCTCCAGAGGAATCACCTTGTGATTTTCATGTTCCTTCGATCTGTCACACACCAAGCAAATGGGGGCTTCATCCTCCTTGCAAAAGAGCTTCAGGGGCTCCTGGTGCTTCTCACAGACTCCTCCTTTCCCTCCTTCCTCCTTTCCCTCTTGAAGGCTGAGATTCTTGGCTATTTCTACCACGTTAGCCAGCTGCCGATTGCGGATGAGGCTCCTTCTCTGGACTGTTTTTCTGCACTGAGGGCAGGAAGCCTCTGCCTCTGATTCCCCCCAGAACAGGACAAGGCAGGATCGGCAGAAGTTGTGCCCACACTCCGGGATGGTCACTGGATCCTTGAAGTAATCCAGGCAGATGGAGCAAGTGGCTTCATCACAAAGATTCCGGATGTAACCCCCTGCAGCAGCCATGGCTCCCTCGCGCCAAAAACCCGAGTTAACTTTCGTTTTTTCAGGTTTCAGCTACTGGGAGTTCCCCCTTCCTAGAAATGACTCAGAAGCTCAGTGACCACGTGATCTTTTTTTTTTTTTTTAATGTCCCCAGGTCATTTGCTGAATGTTTTCTCAAGCAGCGGCGAATGCTTCTGGATTGCCTCCTGTTAATAAACAAAAATCATCCTTGTAGGTTGATTGACCATCAGAACATCCACACAGGAGAGAAGCCTCACAAATGCCCTGAGTGCAGGAAAAACTTTTCTCAGTGAGATACGCTGATCAAACACCAAAGCACCCACGCGGAGGAGAAACCTTATGAATGCCCCGAGTGTGGAAAAAGCTTCATTCAGAAGGAGGGATTAATCGTACACCAGATAATTCATTTAGGGAATATGTCCAGCTAATATTCTTGAAAAGTGCCACATTCCACAGAAAAAAAGAGGGAGAAATGTTGGTTACAACCTGATTTGCAGTGGAGAACACACACCTTTTCTATGTCACAAGACATAGGCGGATGGCCAGTTGTTGTTAATTCAAGAAAGTTCTCTGTTGAGGCTTCCTGCCCCAGGAGGGGACAAACAAAACTGCCCACCCTCTGCTCTGGTCCCCACGATGGAGGCAGGGAGACAGAGACACATTATATCCACGTTGCAGATTCTCATAGCACTAGAAGTCGTGGCCCCCAAACAAAGCTGATTGTTGGGAGATCCAGGACAGAAAAAAGCATTTCGTTGTGGAGCGTGTAAATGAACCATGGAACTCACTGACACTGGAGGCAGAGACGGCAACCAACTTAAAATCATGGAATTGCATAGTTGAACGGTACAGCCAGGGTCACCTAGTCCAGATCTCTGCAGTGCAGGAATCTTTTGCCCAACGTGGTGCTCAAGCCAGTGACCCTTAGATTAAGACCATCATGCTCCACCCATTGAGCTGGGGACAAGACAAGGGGACAAATTCATGGAGCACTAGGCTGTGAAGCACAACGGTTCTGCTCTGCCTCCACAGTCCAGAGGCAGAAGACTTCTAAATCTCAGGTGCTGGAAACTGCAGGGGGGGAGGCTGGTTTTCCTCTGGTCCTCCTTGCAGGTTTTCCACAGGTGTCTGGGTGGCCCCTCTTGGGCGCTGGACCAAATGGGCCACTTTTGTGTCCTTCCATGGGGTGAGTGGAAACTCACAGGGAAACTTGTGATGACACACAAACATCACCATCATATAGGGGGTGGAGCAAGGGGAGGTGGCCCTCAGGCAGGTGGGGGGCGGCAAAGGTGTCTTTATTTTGACATCTGCCACCACCCCATGGGAAATGCAGGAAAAGGAGAGCAGGCTGCACAGGTCAGTAGTCGGCAGCCCTGATAGTGGATCCGGAGAAAGTCCTGCCAGATCTTAGAGGGGTCAATTCCATAGGCATTTGTTGTTCTAGCTCTTAGTATCCCAGGAGAGAAACCAGATGCAGCTGGTGCTGAAAAGACCCTCCTTGGGGGAGCATTGTGCATTTGGGGTGGGGCTGAGGAACACAAGGAAGGTGTCCTGCGACATGTATAGGGCGGCACAGCCCATGGGGCCCCCTCCGGAAGCTGCCGGACTGCAGCTCCCATCCTCTCTGACCCCTGGCCATGCTGGATGGGTCAGAGGGGAGTTGGAGTCCAGCATTATCCAGAGGACACCCCATTTGATGCCCCTGATAGACAGAATCCAGCCTGTAAATACGGAACGTTAATGCATCAACCCTAAACACATATAACTGGGCAAAAGCCCCACTCAATGCAATGAGGTTTATTTCTGACAACGTGTGGAGATGGGGAGGCTGTATTTGCAGAGGGCATTTGAAGCTGATGCCCTGTTCATTTTTTTTTATTTTCTTCCCATCTGAGGTCTCCAGAGTAAGGAGCTTTCCTGCCTGATGTGGGGGAAGGGGTTCATTTTTTAGTCCTCTATTAATCCAATTATGCATGCATTTTCACAGCTGCATAAGGTCTTGTGGGGAGAGGGAGGTTTCGTAGAATTGCAGAGTTGCGAGGGATCCTGAGGGTCATCTAGTCCCACCCCCTGCAGTGCAGGAAACCTTTGCCGAACGTGGGCCCCACAACCGTGGGATTAAGAGTCTCGTGCTCTGCCAAAGACATCTCAAAAGGAAAACAAGACTGAAGGTGAGGAAAAGATGATTTATTGGGACTGTTAAAAGTGTGACTGTCTCTTTAAGAAGAAGTAAGCTGCAGAGGGAATTCTGGGGAAAGAAAGGAAAAAGCAAAGCAACCCATTTTTATTTTGTTACAGTGGTGCCTCGCAAGACGAAATTAATTCGTTCCGCAAGTCTCTTCGTCTTGCGAGTTTTTCGTCTTGCGATGCACGGTTTCCCATAGGAATGCATTGAAAATCAATTAATGCGTTCCTAGGGAAACCGCCTTCAGACCAGGTCCGGGGACAGTCTGTCCCCGGACCTCTTCTGAAGGCTGGGGGGGGGGGCAAGGGCTTTTCTTCCCACCCCCAGCATTTTAAAAAACCCCGGGACAGCGGAGGACTTCTCCGCTGTCCGGGCGATCTTAAAATGCTGGCGGGCGGCATTTCAAATCACCCCGGGACAGCGGAGGACTTCTCCGCTGTCCGGGGCAACTTAAAGCCCCTGGGAAGGCAGGCAGGGGGACAAAGACTTTGCCCCCGCCAGCCTTCAGAAGAGGTCCTGGACCTCTTCTGAAGGCGGGCGGGGGCGAAAGTCTTGCTCCCCCGCCTTCAAAAGCCCTCCGGGACAGGCAGGCAGGGGGAGCAAAGACTTCGCCCCCGCCCGCCTTCAGAAGGTCTTCCCTCCCCCGCCCGGCTTCGGAGCACCGTTCCCGAGCCGGGCGGCGGCGGAGGTCTTCCCTCCCCCGCCCGGCTCGGAGCACCGTTCCGAGCCGGGCGGCGGCGGCAGGTGTTCCCTCCCCCGCCCGGCTCGGAGGAGCCTTCCGAGCCCGGCGGCGGCGGGAGGAGGTGTCCCCGCCCCGCCGCCAGGCTTCGGAGGAGGTCCGAGGACAGTGGGAAGACGCGCTGCGCTTCCCCGCTGTTCCTGAGATTTCCCTATGGGCTGTCGTCTTGCGAAGCAAGCCCATAGGGAAATTCGCTTATGAGCGCCTCAAAACGGAAAACCCTGTCGTCTAGCGGGTTTTCCGTCTTGCGAGGCGTTCGTCTTGCGGGGTACCACTGTATTTCTGCTGATTTTGACTTTTATGCATCCTTTCAAAGGTCCCCTTGAAAAACTGTCCAATATTCTCTTGGTGGGTACTACTATTATTTTATCACCTCTGCCAAGTTTTAAGTATTGAGATTATTGATCCACTATATGACTATTGATTCACAACCCTAAAATGGATTTTATATAATTGACTTTTTATTTCTATTCTTTGTATATCGTATTGTTGTTTTATTGCTATGGCCGATGGCTGACGCAAATAAAGATTCATTCATTCATTCATTCTTGGTGGGTAATCCAATTATGCATGCATTTTCACAGCTGTATAAGATATTGTGGGCAGAGTTGTGAGGTACCCTGAGGGTCATCTAGTCCCACCCCCTGCAGTGCAGGAAACCTTTGCCGAACGTGGGGCTCAACCCACAACCCTGGGATTAAGAGTCTCATGCTCTGCCAAATCAGACATCTCAAAAGGAAAACAAGACTGAAGGTGAGGAAAAGATGATTTATTGGGACTGTTAAAAGTGTGACTGTCTCTTTAAGAAGAAGTAAGCTGCAGAGGGAATTCTGGGGAAAGGAAGGAAAATGAATCTTCTCAAATTCCCCTTGAAAAACTGCCCAAGGTTCTCCTGGTGGGTAAATGTTTTTTATATCAGTCACTCTGGTCTGGAGAGAAACTCCTGCTGGGCCTGAGAGGCAGATTTAGTCTCCTCAGGAGATACTGAGGTGGGTTTTATAATCTCCCCCCAGACAAAAGAAAGGGAGGAGGGTCTCTCCAGAGAACGAGGCTCCTGAGAACGTGTAGAGTTCGGCTCCTGAGTCGGCGTCAGAAAAAGACACACGTCCCCCTTCATAGTCCAGCGTCACCCGGATCCTCCTGGGCTCCTCACTCAGGGACAGAGGAGAGAGATCAGGGGATGTCCAGGCAAAGTACTCCCCTCCCCACTTCCCCACAGCCCAGATCCCTCCCTCAGGTCTAAAGGAGAAGCTGCCCTTTCTCTCCACAGACTTCCTGGCGACCCCCACAGCCCACCGTCTCCCACTTCCCACAGTGACTTCCCAGAAATGTCTGCCTGCTGTGAATCCCTCACGTCCCAACACACAAAAATAGTCGCTGAATCTCTCAGGATTGTCAGGCAGGGCTTGAGGTTTGTCTCCCTTTCTCAGGCTTTTCCGATCCTTGGACAGGATGAGTCGGGGATGGGCTGTGTCTGGATCCAGAGTGACATTTGCTGTTGGGGAGAAGTTGAGGGAGAGAGAAGATCAGGCAGAGTCCGCAGAGAGACAGAGATGGACATCCTAATCCAAGAAACACCCCAAAAACCCAGATTCCCTTTTAGATCAAGGGGATTTATTTGCATCGCATGCAAGACTGAGACTCCTCCTTGCAGATTCTCATCAGAATAAATATCTTCCTTGTTGATTTTTAAATCAGTTTCCTTCACTTTCTTATATTCAATGCACATTGTGCCGGCCCTCCTTCCAACCAAGGCATTTTCTAAGAGGAAAAACCACCCAGGAAACCTTTTACTCAGCTCTTTTGTGTTATCTAAGGGGAAAGAGAGGAGAATTGGAGGAGGCAGGAGAGGAGAGAAGCTGCTTTCCTCTGACAATCTCTGTGGGAATTGGCCTTTGGGGACCTCTGGGTTGGGATGGGGAATGAGGACCCCCAGCAGCAATAGTAGTAGTAGTAGTAATAGTAATAGTAATAATAATAATAATAATAATAATAATAATAATAATAATATCAACATTTGCATACTGCCCTTCATCTATAACTCTCAGGGTGGTCCACAGCATAAAAATACAACACAAAACCACATATAGGCTTCCCCTCACTTTTGCATGGGTTATGTTCTGGGCCCTCGTGCACAAAAGTGAAAATCGTGTTAAATGGGGAGCCTGTTTATTCCTGCCCTCCATCTCTCTCACCCACTTGGTCTCTCCTTGCCTTCCTCCCAACCATCTTGGAAGTTCAGGGCTTGCCGCCAGGGAAGAGGAGGCAGGTGGCAGGGCAATTTTACAAAGGACTGCTTATTCCATGCTTCTCTTTGGGATTTCATATATACCTTAAGACTAGTTCCCTGAGAGAAGCGGGGAATAACTCAAAAGGTTACAAGTTTGGGGCTGAGACAGTCATGATAGGCAAGTATAGGGCTGCCCTATTTTGAAGAGCAAGAAAGAGGACACATTGGCCAACTTTGACTTTAACCATGGTTCGCTATGACGACTCTCCTCTGAAATACCACTACTATATGTAGGCTATAGAAGCTGTGATATATTGCTAGTAGCAATGTTCTTAACTTTCAACAACAAAAGAAGAATAAGAATACATATAGCTCCCTCATTTGCCACATGAAATCTCTGGGCACATGTTCACATCTTTCTGAATGTAAGTGTGCACAGAACAATTTATTAACCTGTTGAACATCTGCATGTGGACTCTCCTTAAGGGCAGGGGGGTCTTAACTCTTGCCCTCCCGGACTCCTCCTCCAAGATCTTGTAGCTGAGCCAGCGTCCTTTTGGTTCAGCCACAAGAGAAGGGATTTTTACAGTATGTCGCTAGCTTAAGATGCAGCTTTGTTGTGATTCTCTGCTGCAGATTAGCCTAACTGGGTGCCTTAGATCTGACTCTAATGCAGGCATAGGCAACCTCGGCCCTCCAGATGTTTGCGGACTACAACTCCCATGATCCCTAGCTAACAGGACCAGTGGTCAGGAATGATGGGAATTGTAGTGCCAAAACATCTGGAGGGTTGAGGTTGCCTATGCCTGCTCTAATGCAATATTAAAATTTTCATGGGTTCTTGTAAACCAAAAAACAACAAAATAAAACTTGGGGACATTCTGCCAAATTTTAAAAATCTGCCCCGATACAAATTTTAAGAAATTTTGATCATGAAAATAGAAGACATGGCTAGGAAAAAGAGGACACATGGCAACCAGGCCTGAAAAAGGTCACATGATGGAAAAGCAACCCAACTCTCTCTAGCCAGGAGTAAAACTCTTCCCTCCTCCGCCTGATCCTTCTGGGAAGTTTCTCTCCCCCCTTCAAGTCCACCCTCTCTGCCTTTGTGGCACAAACAGCAGGGCTAGAGTCAAGCTGTGGATGGTTCTGAACTGTACAGAAGAGACTCTTGACCCCCCATGAAACACTAGTCGTCCCGTCCCCCCGTGAACTGGGGTCTCCATGTGAATTTTACCTCTCTGGAGACTTCTGAGTGACTGGACATCTGAGGAAGCAAAAATATAGGCTTAATGGTCTACAGTGCAATAGTTCAAAGAAAATCTTTTTACAAAACATCACCATAACATAGCATCTGTTGTTTCCTTATTTCAAGCAAAAGATGACATCATAAAACAAGTAATTGAAAGACAACAACTGTAGGCCTAAGGAATTAAAACAACTAATGTGTTTAACTATTATTCCTGCATTGCAGGGGGTTGGACTAGATTAGGGGTAGGCAATTCTTTTCAGCAGGGGGCCGGTCCACTGTCCTCAGACTTTGTGGGGGGCCGAACTATTTTTTTTTGGGGGGGGTGAACAAAATCCTATGCCCCACAAATAACCCAGAGATGCATTTTAAATAAAAGGACACATTCTACTCATGTAAAAACACGCTGATTCCCGGACAGTCTGCGGACCAGATTTAGAAGATTGGGCCAGATCCAGGCCTTAGTTTGCCTACCCATGGACTAGATGACCCTTAAGATCCTTTCAAACTCTACTATTCCATGACTCCATGGGGAAATCAGAAATGGTAAACCATACTAGAAAATGGTGGAATACAATCATTCAGAATCCATGAATGAAATGGGGATCTGAACTGAATGGCTGGAGGAAGGTTAACATCTGCGCCAAGTAAACTGGTGGGGAAAAGCTATTGAAAGCGGAATTTCCAAGCATGCTGACAAACCAGATTGCAGAGGAAGAAGCTGCAGAGCTTTGCCATGTACTTCCAAGGGTCTCGTGCAATGGGAAGTCGTCTCTCATGGAATGGGGCTGATCTCATAAGAACAGTGGGAAGTCTCAGGAGATGGGGATGGCTGATGAGGTTGAAACTGAGGAGGAGGCAGCTCAGGCCTTGCTCTGCTGCTGGGAGACCAGCCTGGGCAGGAGGTGGAGGAGGGACTGGGTGCTTGCGGGTGCCCCTTTTAACACACTTCACGAGGGGGAAATGCAAGCAAATCTAGAGAAGCCGCAAAAGAACCTCTCCAGATTGTGTGGAGGGAAAACAAAATGCAAGGGAGGTTCCCTATACATGAGACCTCGAAAACAGGGACACTGGACTGACCCTGCAGGATTTTTCTTAAGGGTTTTGTAAGACATTGTAAGGCTCTGAGGATTTCCGCCACAATTGAGCAGTATATACATTTTATGAAAGAAAGCAAAATCTGTAAAATCGAGGGTGAAACCAGGATACTAGTCTATAGGCAGGAATGGAACTCAGACTGGTGTTCAGGTTGTTTGCAGGGACAAGCTCTGCCCCCAATCCAAGCCTTCAACCTCCCTCCCAGTTCATTCATGGGACAGACAAAGAACCCAAACACCACTAGAGGACTGTTACCCAGAGTGACGCCATTGATGGGGGTCCCAAAGTCTGCAGAATGGACAGGAACACCCATGAAATATCAGTCCCCATCCCTCCTGTCAAATTGTTCCTCCCCTGGAAATTTACCTTTCTGAAACTGTTTTCTGTATAACACAGCATCTGAGGAAGCAAAAAGATATAAAGTGTAAGGGCAACACTCTTCCACCTGAAATAAATCTCCATACAAAAGTAACACTTCATAATGTAGCATCCTTGAATTGACTCCATTCAGAGCAGGACAACCCCAGATTGTGTAGACTGGTAACCAAAAGGAAAAGGAGGTTCTGTATAACTGAAAACAGATACAGGCTTTCTTTACAGGATCCAGGGTCACAATATAGACGGGCCATTCTAGGGGACAGGAAATGAAGGCTGTGGCACCAAGAAGGAAGGTATCCTGGGGTTATTAAATTCCATGCAGTAAGAGCCTGGCATGTTCAGTTCTGAAGAAATAATAGAATTCCCACTGTGAAATCCTGGCAGCCATTTTTCATTACCTTTCCATTGTTTCATTGCATCCTCCACAAGGTGATTTAGATCACAGGATTCCAAGATCCTGTTCCTCAGCTCTGGAGGGAAAGGCAGTGGGTTCTCCGGACTCTCTCTTTTCTCATACCTGGTGAAAAGAAAAACAATGAATGGCCCCATTGTGGCCCCGTCTCCCTAATTATTGCAGGAGATCTCAATAACATGAACAAAGTTGAAGTTTATTTCCCAACAGGTAATTCAACATGATCTGTTGACACCCACCTCCAAGCCCTGGCCAATGGCTTCGTAAGGATGCTAAACAGCACAAGGGACAAGAGGCAACCCTGTGCGACATCACCGGAGGGCTCCCATGGCTTCAAACTCTGCTGCCCCATAACAACTTTCTGAGAAGGTCCCAGGACGTAAGGGCCAAACCCCTGAAATGGAGTGCCTGCAATCCCTCCCTCCCTGTGCCTCTCTAGAGGATGTTAAGAAGAAGAGGAAGAGAAGAGTTTGGATTTGATATCCCGCTTTATCATGACCCTAAGGAGTCTCAAAGTGGCTAACATTCTCCTTTCCCTTCCTCCCCCACAACAAACACTCTGTGAGGTGAGTGGGGCTGAGAGACTTCAGAGAAGTGTGACTGGCCCAAGGTCACCCAGCAGCTGCATGTGGAGGAGCGGAGACGCGAACCCGGTTCACCAGATTACGAGTCCACCGCTCTTAACCACTACACCACACTGGCTAGTTAGTGATGTCAAAAGCTGCCAAGCGGTCAAGGAGAACAACCTCCACCCTCCCTGCACCCCCTCTCTCACACAGGAAGTGTGCAACCCCATGCCCCATGGGACTCTCCCTCCAGAGGCATCAAACAACCTGACTTTCACCCCCCACTCAAGACCACCTTCAGCCTCTCACATTGGAAACACTCCCAAGAAAAAGAGCCAACCCATTCTAGACAAACAGACTTTCCCTCCCTAAGTGCCTCAAAGGGGCTGAGTTGGGGGGCTTCCAGTGGGACGTGGAAAGATATTGGTACGTCCTAAGCTGTTCCCAGGGATCTTTGGCACTTTCTCTTCTACATGTTTGAAATTACCAAAGTCAATGAACAGAAGGTGGAAGAGAAAGAAAAGAGCCCCCATCCCTGTGTTAAGTGATGTGGGGAGGGAGGAAGGAGGCAGCTGACCTTGATCCTTGGAGGGAGAATTGGGGGGCTACAAGTTCAGAAGAGGGGGCCCTGCTTTTACCTGTGAGATGCCTCAGGGAGTGAGTCCTACAGTCTCCCCCCTGCAGCCCCTGGAGGGCTATGTCTGAGGTTTTTGCATCCCGGCCTCATGGAGTGAGGCTAATGGAAATGAGCAGGCTCCACTTACCTCTGCAAGGTGCTTCTCACATCCTAGAGGGGAAAAGAGAAGGGAATTCACTGCACACCACAGGCCACACTAGGGAGACCCCCTCAGACCCTGGCCCTCAGATGTCAGTCTGCCTGGCACATGGCAAGGTTGTGGGCAGGGATGGTGGAATCAAAAAGTTTTGGTTTCTCACAGCTTTTATTTCTCCAATCTGAAATTATTAATTTTTCCAGTATCAAGTTCTCCACATTTCCACATCTGTTTACAATTATTTTTTAAGAATCCTTATGAAAATCCACCAGCATTTTAGGGAAATTTAATATTTGTGGGTTCAGGAGAAGATTCCATCCCATCTCTTGTCTTAGATTATAATTTATTAACTTTAATCCCATTTGCATTGTGCAATTCAGACGTAAGGAAGCCTACAAGTTAATCCTACCAGGGAACTGTCCCAAGTTGTCTTCCACAGAAGTCCCCAAATTTCAAATTCTACTTTCCAACTGGAAATAAAAAAGCACCTGCAGCATAAAATGCCTCCAAAGGGGTAATAAAACAGCTCAGTGTTTCTTTGGGCTCATCCACACTTCTGCTTTTCCTGTGCCCAGAAACCACAGGTCCAAGTGGTTTTGCCTTTGCCCTTCCGCTTTCCCTCAGGGAAAACCTGCTCCTTAGTTCAACATCTAAGCAAACGTCAATCTGGAGAAAACCTGGCTGAGGTTTGCTCTCATTCAGCAGTAAAGAGACGGTTTTCCTGGAGGAAAGGGGTGGGACAAACAGCAGTCTGGATGAGTCCCTCTGTCCTCGCTGAAGCCCAGCCCAGGGCAGGAAGGCAGCATTTTCAAGAAGAAAGAAATTGGAGACAAATCATCAGCAAAGAACAGAAAACCACCTCTGTTCCATCAAGAACACAGAAGAATCTCTAGTCTGCATTCAGGTGAGTTAAGCATCCCAGGTCTCTTGGGTCTTCCTGTCCATTAGATACCTGACTAGAGGCTCCATCATCTGAGCCCCTGCACTTCTTGCATACATGAAAGAGACACATGAAGGATGGGAGGCAGCCTTTTCCTGGAGCCTTGGGCTGTTTCTGCCACCGTCTTACCTGCAGGAGTTCACTCGCTGGCTGCTGACTCTTCTCCTCCATCTCCTGGATGATCCTCTCAAGAGAGGAGAGTTTCCTGGAGAGTCTGGCCAGCTGCTCATCCCTTCTCCCTGCAATCTCCTTCTCCACCTCTTCCATGTGATTCAGCAGACCTTTTTCTTGTTCTTCCAGGAACTGGCGCAGTTCTCTGAACTTCTCCACAATCTTCAACCGCTCTGTTTCTGTTAATTTCTGCAAGAAAAGAGGAGGTCTGAGTGTGTTTGGTGCTTAGCCTCGAAACAGCAGAAACAAAATTTTGAGAATTCCACAGGGAGGACACTTCTGATTTTTCTATAGACATGAAACCTCCAGTGGCTAAAGAAGTAAACCTTTATTTTGAGGGGAGGCCTCTCCATTGCTGTTTCTGTTGACTTCTATTTTGCAGACGGATACAGCCTAAAGGAAGGAGCTCTTTTTTCCTAGCCATGGATTTTCCCTGCATGTTTTGGGGCATGGCATAACCAGAGTTCTAAGCTGTTCAGAGAACATCCAGGGACATAAAACACCCCTCAGTTTAGACTGGGGTGTAGGAAGGAACAGAAACAGAGGAGAACAAAGTGCAGAGTTCATCCCCATAGCTCCCCTGTTTTCTGTAAAGGTTCAAAATGGCCTGAGTTTCCTAAAAATGAACAAGAGCGCACATTTAGAAAGACAATTCTTTAGTAGAATCTATGGTAAATCAGGATTTGGTTTGAATTGCTTCCACCCTTTCAGCTCACAAGTCCTCAGGCTTCTCCTTGACTGCTATTCACATAATAAATGACAAGGGGAAATAAACTCAATTTAGCTGCATTCAAAGGTGAACTTGCCTAATTTGCTCTTGCTGAAAAAATATGGAGACCAAAACAGAGTTTTAAAATTCTGATATTTTCAAGCTTGACCCAGCCAGGTAATATTCACAAAAAATGTATTTATGAGGGTAAAGTACAGATCAGAATATTTATACAAGGAGGTAGCTACCCTAACATCTGATTCATAACAGGCTGATGTGGAAAAAAGAGAAATGAGGAGAAGCCGAAATGGGCAGATTTCCCCATCACTTCTCAGTCCTGACTCAATTCTTCTTCTTCTTATTCTTCTTTATTGAATTTATATACTGCCCTGTAGCCGGAGGTCTCAAGTGCTTGTTCCCTGTCTAGTAACAACAGAGACACTTACAAGGAGGTCTTTGCTTTCCTTGTCCAGGGCTGCTTGATGGGCCAGAATTTCCCCTCTCTCTTTCCTCAGAATCTCCAGGCGGCGACAGATCTCTCTCTAAAGAGAAAAGGGAAAACTCAGCTTTGATTGAGACACACAGAGAGATGAAAATCACAATGGCTTCTTGCGCCCAGTGGCCTTGCTAGAATAGCAAAGTAGTTTCCTGGAGGAAATAAAAGTACAGAGGTTTTCAGCCTTTTTGGCCCCACGGCTCCATGGATCAACTACCTTCATCTGCAGCACCCCTGTGGGGCTCAGGATCCCAGTTAGGTCCCCCCTTGCCTGCAGAGCTGGCAGCCCCTCACCTTTTCTCAAACACCCTCCCTTGTGGAGCGATCTCTCAGCCTCCTCTCCTTTCCTTGGGAGTCCCAGCCTGACTTCTCACCTTGAGGTCTCAGGGAGAAGTGGGAAGAGGAGGAGGAAGGGCTAAGGCAGGATCCAACCTGGGATGTACCAGTCTAGCATCAAAGAGATAGTGAGGTCAGCCCAAGAGGCGAGAGATGCAGGGATAGAGCAGCCCTTCTCAAAACTTCACCCATTCCAAACCCCTCTTCTGCAAGCCTAGGGCTTTTCCACACTTCCTCTTGACCCCTCTGCTTTGCCGCTGAATTGGGTCAGATGGCAATTGTGGTTTTCTGCTATTTGGCAGTTATTTTCTCTGCAGTAGCCAGAGCCCACGTGTGCTTGGGCCACCAGGGGAGATTTACTGTATTTTTCGCTCTATTGGACGCACCGGACCACAGTTTTTAGAGGGGGAAATCAAGGAAAAAAATATTATCCCCCCCCCCAGCCCCAAAGAGCAAAGAAGCCAAGACAGCGAGCGGGATCCATAGCCGCGCAACCTCTCCAGCCAGGAGCTAAACCTCTCCAGCGCAGCTAAAGAAGAAGACAAGGCAGCGAGCGCGATCCATCCCGCTTGCTGCCTTGGCTTCCTCTTTAGCCTTGCGCAACGGGATGGATCGCGCCTGCTGTCCACCGGGGCTGGACTAGATGACTCCTGGGGTTCCCTTCCAACCCTGCAATTCTACGACCTCAGAAGGTGTTGGGGTCTCCACCACTGGAGGCTTTTAAGCAGCGGTTGGGGGACCATCTGCCTGGCGTTCTTTAGCTGTGATTCCTACATTGTGAGGGGGCTGGGCTAGATGACCCTCGGGTGGCCCTCCCAACTCTATACAGTCCTACAATTCTGCGGCAGGAGATCCACAGCCACTTCACACAATGCCCACTCCCAATTTTCATCGGAGAGACATGTGGCTTCAGTGTCTAGGTAGGTACCCCCTTACCTGCCACTCTTCCCCCACCCCACTTAAGCCGAGGGAATTCCTGCCCAGAGAAGCTCCCAGGTGAGGCAAGGGTTAAGATCTACCTCTGGTAAATGGCTCTGTATCCCCCCTCTTTCCCTTTTCTCTTCTTCTTCTATGCTATTTCCTTCTTTTGTGTTTTGTTTAATCTGTTTTTATTGTATACTAAAATAAAAGCTGCAAAGTTTCCTTTTTCATAATATCCCCCCCTCCAAACTAAAATGTTAATCTAGATAAAAACACTGATCCAGAGGAAAAGAAGGGGGTGGCGAAAGGATGAAAAAAAAAAAGAGGTAGAGATAAAGAGATTTTTAAAAAGTTGGCTTCTTTAGCCTTGCGCAGCCTCCCGGGGCTGGAGAGGCGCGCAAGGCAAAAGAGGAAGCCCGGGCAGTGAGCGGGATGGATCATGCTTGCTGCCTTGGCTTCCTCTTTAGCCTTGCACAGCCTCCCCCCGGCTGGAGAGGTTGCGCAAGGCTTTTCTAGAGGAGGGAGAAGGGGCTGATGCGCCACGTCAGTCCCTTCTCCCTCCTGGGGAAAAGCCCGCAAGAGCCTCGCGAAGCTTGTGTGTGGGGCTCTTGGGGGCTTTTCCTGCTTGCCTCCCTCCCTGCATTCGCTCCATAGGATGCACAGACTTCTCCCCTTAGTTTTTAAGACGGAAAAACGGTGTCCTATGGAGCGAAAAATACGGTAAGTGCTGCAGCTTTTTCCATTTCTGGGCCAAAGAAGTTCTTGCTGCGGCCAGAAACCACCCAAGTAGCTCCTTCGGTCAGAAGATTGCTGTCTGGTCCTCCCGCCAATTCAAAGGGACCAGCTTCTATTATTACTGTTTTGTGGCATTATTGGCATTGCATGCCACAGGAGCATTTTTGCACCACTGTAGTAGAACAAGTGATTTTTTAAAAGGGATTAAAAGGCATTATTTATAGTATCTAATTGCACAGGTCCAATTCGAGTTGCCATGAAAAAGTCACCTTGCCCCCTTGTCCTTGCAGATGCTACTCTGAACCACGGAGTCCTTTGCCATTTGGGGTGGAAGGAGATCCTCAGCCCCCCCCCCAAACCTCATTGCACAGGCTCCACGGCACCCCCAGAATAAGCCACCAGTAGGTGCTTCCACTCCCCAATCTGCTTCCAACAGATACTTGGGGGGTGGGATCCTGCACCATCTGGTCAATTCCTAGCTAACAGTCCCCCCCCCCAGCTGATCCCTTGCTGCTCTCTGTTTTGCAGGGCATTGAGCAGGAATCCTGGTAACCAAAGGAGACATGTACTTAGTTGTGTATGTGCCATTTACATTTCTACTGTTCTAAATATGTACATCGCAATCTTTCTGGAGGATGTGGATGAGGTTAACCCTTTCTCTCCCTGCCAAGGTCCCAGTTCAAATCTTTGAAGCTGCTGTGAGTATTTCAAGATCCCTTTGTCCCCCTGGCAGAGAGAAAGACTTCAGCTCCCCCCTCCAGCCATCCCAGGAGCCCTCAGGCTTCCCCTGGGCTGCTTCTAAGGTAATAAACAACCACCAATTCATGCCATGCCTACTTTGGACCTGAGAATTCAAAAGCAAACCTCCCAAGAAGAATCCACAGCTATTTGTTTCTCCCCCTCCAGATCCAGGGATCTCCTACCTTGTATTCCTGGAAAGCCTCCTCCAGAGGAATCACCTCGTGCTCTTTGTGCCCCTTTGATTTGTCGCACACCAAGCAAATGGGGGCTTCATCCTCCTTGCAGAAGAGCTTCAGGGGCTCCTGGTGCTTCTCACAGACTCCTCCTTTCCCTCCTTCCTCCTTTCCCTCTTGAAGGCTGAGATTCTTGGCTATTTCCACCATATTAGCCAGTTGCCGGTTGGAGACGAGGTTCCTTCTCTGGACTCTTTCTCTGCACTGGGGGCAGGAAGCCTCTGCCTCCGATTCCCCCCAGCACTGGATCAAGCAGGATCGGCAGAAGTTGTGCCCACACTCCGGGATGGTCACTGGATCCTTGAAGTAATCCAGGCAGATGGAGCAAGTGGCTTCATCACGGAGATTCTGGATGTGACCCCCCGCAGCAGCCATGGCTCCCTCGTGCTGAAGACTCAGTTAAGTTTCGCTTTTTCAGTTTTCAGTCACTGGGAGTTTCCCTTCCTGGAAATGACTCAGTGATCACATGATCTTTGTTTTTTAAACAAAACATGTCTCCAGATCTTTGTAGTAGCTGAATGTTTTCTCAAATAGCAGACAATGCTTCTGGATTGCTTCCCATGCTTTTGATTACACACAAACACACACATACCTGTAAATTGCGGTATTCATACTGTAACTTTTTCATTCATAGGCTTCCTTGTCATTTTTGAATTGGAGAAAATCTGCCTCTGCCCTAAATGGACAGGAGTTCTGATTTAGCAGGCGGGACTTGATTCCGTGAAGAGAACTCCTAAAAATCTGGTTGCTAATTTTGACTTAATCCCTTTTTAACATGCTGGCAAAGAACTTCAGATTGAAACAGACGCTTTCAGCCTTGCCAACCTGGTGCCCTCTGTTTGCTGAAGACTACAGCTCCCATCATCCCTGACCAGGACTTCTGCAGGTATGGTTGGGAAGACCTTGCAGAGCCACTGCAGTCAGTGGAGGCAAGACTGACCTCGATCGACCTGGCAGAAGGCACCATCTGAATGGTGGCAGCCCAGTTATAGAGTTCCTTCCCTGAATGCCTGGTACGACTTGCTATTATTATTAATCGATATTACTACACAGTGTAAAGTCTTCCTATATTCCTAATAAAGTGTGGTGCCTTCCAATGGCTGAAAAACCTGGAGCGCTTTAACAGGGGATTAGATACAATTCCTGGAGGATAAGACTTTGGTAGGAGACGCAGGTAGCGCTGTGGGTTAAACCACAGGGTCTAGGGCTTGCCGATCAGAAGGTTGGCAATTCAAATCCCCACGATGGGGTGAGCTCCCGTTGCTCAGTCCCTGCTCCTGCCAACCTAGCAGTTCGAAAGCACGTCAATGTGCAAGTAGATAAATAGGTACTGCTCCGGCGGGAAGGTAAACGGCGTTTCCATGCGCTGCTCTGGTTCGCCAGAAGCGGCTTAGTCATGCTGGCCACATGACCCGGAAGCTGCACGCCGGTTCCCTTGGCCAATAAAGCGAGATGAGCGCCGCAACCCCAGAGTCGGTCACGACTGGACCTAATGGTCAGGGATCCCCTTACCTTTACCTGAAGACTTTGAATGGTTATATGCTCTGCCTCTGTGGTTGGAAGCAGTAATCCTCCTGAATAGCAGTTGCTGGAGCCTCCAGGAGGGACTCTTGTTCCCAGGCCCTGCTTAGGGGTTTCCCACACACATAATGTTTAAAAAATGTTTTTGGTTTCACCTGCAGGTAATAGGAGAGAGATCAAGATGGAGAATTCCCACCAAGGGGAAGCTGTGCCAGAGGGAATATCCCTGAGGGACGTTCCAGTTTCATGTTAAGAACGGACCTACGGAACGAATTAAGTTCGTAATCGGGGGTACCACTGTATCTGTATCAAATTTTCATTCGGCCAGACGTCTGTACGCTGTCAGTTATCTCTGGTGGCTGGTCAGGTCTAGTATAGATCAAGTGCAGAATACACTTACAGTCATACCTCGTGTTACAGACGCTTCAGGTTGCGTTTTTCCAGGTTATGGACCACCGAATTCTGGGGTTTGGCGGTTGCACATGTGCAGAAGCGCCAAATCGCAACCCGCGCATGCGCTGCTCTGGGTTGCGGACGCTGCGGGTTGCGAACGTGCGTCCTGAACGGATCACGTTCACAACCCGAGCGTCCATTGTATTTCAAAACGGATGCTTTTGTTAGATGGCTAGTTTTTAGTTTCATTCTCGCCAGTTTAACAGCATAGCCATTACAACAGTTAAAACAATTAAAACAATAAGATCAGGAAGTTCAAGCTCAGAGGAATTCTTGCTTGAACAGGAGCCGGCGGAATGCCAATACAGTGGTATCTCGGGTTACATACGCTTCAGGTTACCGACTCCGCTAACCCAGAAATAGTACCTCGGGTTAAGAACTTTGCTTCAGGATGAGAACAGAAATTATGCTCCAGTGGCGCGGCAGCAGCAGGAGGCCCCATTAGCTAAAGTGGTGCTTCAGATTAAGAACAGTTTCAGGTTAAGAACGGACCTCTGGAACGAATTAAGGACTTAACCCGAGGTACCACAGTACTGATGAGGCCTCTCGTATTTGAGTAGGGAGGGCATTCCTCAATAGGTAAAGAAACCCACCTCTGTGTTACTGCTAACTAACCGGATTCTGTTAGCTGGCCATAGTGCCCTCACTGGGCAATGGAGGGGAAGACAGTTTTTCGGGTAACCTGGTCCAGCAGAACCCCACATTTTGTAGTCAAAAGTGGCAGATATCACTGGTTTGTTTGCTTGTTTGTTTCCCCCGAAGGACTTCTCGCCCCCAAACCTGACCTTGTTTCCTGGCTGGAAGAAGTAGAAGAACCATTTGTGCCGATCTCAGAGGAAGGGAAGCAATGGGCAGGGACCTGCTTAGGTGTGTGGTGACAACCTTTTCAGATGCCAAATTATATCATTTAGTTGCTAGAATTGATGGTTTGATGATTTACTTTATTTCTGCGTTCCAAAATCTTAATTGCTGTATTTTTCCGTTTGTGAGACACCCCCATATATAAGACGCCACTCGCCGCCAGCAACTGCCATTCGACTGCCCCCTCGGCACGGCGCCAGCCTAACAACAGCAGCCCTTGCCGCATGCACCAATCAACATCCCTACTGCCGCTGACAATCTCCTGCTCGCAGCAACAACCAGTCGCCAGTCCACCCTCGGCACTATCCGTGTATAAGACGCCCCCAAATTGTTGACATTATTTTTTTAGGGAAAAAACCTAGTCTTATACATGGAAAAATACGGTAATTTCAATTATACTCCAGTCATAATAACAATCCCTTATACAACAACTGAAATATTAACGACTTCCATTTGTATTGACACATTAAATGATTTATAAACCGACAAATTAGTTTTTCTAAGAAGTGTTATCCTTGCATGTGAAAGCCATTCCTTCCTGTGGTTTAATATGTGTCAGGGAACTGCCATCGGACGGAAGGGAGGTGAAAGGGCTCACACAGGTTGGGAGAGACGCAGCAGCTGAAGAGGGAACCAGCAGGGAGGTGAAAGGGCTCACACAGGTTGGGAGAGACGCAGCAGCTGAAGAGGGAACCAGCAGGGGGAGAGGAGCTGAGCTGGAGGGATGGCTCAGAGACACTTCCAGCGAAAACAGTGGGGAGGTTTCAGGGACCTCCTGTAAGAACACCCACTCCTCGCCGGAAACTGTCACGCAGAGAGTCCAGAAGACGTGTTTCCGTTAAGGAGCTTTTATGTTGGAAGCGATTACGAAAGCAACCACTGTCGGAATCTGCTAGTGACTAGAGGAGCCATGTCTGAGGGGCTCCGTCACAGACAGAGGTTTGTGCACTTGAACAAACTCTGAGGGGATACGATTTTACGCACAAGCAGCTCATCATCTCATCACAGCATTCCGACAGTCTTTGAAAGCAGCTTGTGCAGGAGAAGGCATCATGAGCAACCCAGCCGGAACCGGAGAAGCAGGAGCTGGAGCGGTTCCAAGCCTGGAAGAAAGGTACCGGGTGTTGGAGGTCCAGCTAGCGATGCAGACGGCGAGGCTTGAGGAGAGGAGGGCTCAGGATGCAGACAAAAAGGGGAAGCCACCCAGCTCGCCAGAAAGGTACCAGGATTGGTGCAGAAGTTTGGGGGGGAGCCCAAAAACTATCATGGCTTTCGGACAGAAATGCAATATGCCCTCAATCTGCAGTTTGATGAATCCCTGACGAGGAATCACGAGTGGCTTTCGTGATTGAGCATCTTGAAAAGGGGGGCGAGAGACTGGGTTAGACCCCTGATGGCAGCTAATAGTGACGTCCTAAAGGACACGATGAAGTTCTTTCGCGCCATGGATCTGATGTTTTCCAGCGATATTGAAAAGGGAGTGGTGCGCAGACAGTTAATGGCTTGCAAACAGGGAGCCGATCTGTCCGTGAGTACTGGACTGAGTTCACCATGCTTGTTCACAGATTGGGGTGGGACTTATCGGCGGAACCCATTCAAATGCTCTTTGAAGAAGGGCTTTCTTCGGCTGTGAAAGACGAACTTTCCCGGGCGCCCAGGGTGGAGTCTATGGACAAGCTGACCAAATCAGCGCTGGCCATAGGAGCGCGCCAGGAGGCGAGAGCATTGGAGAGGCGGGAAGGGAAAGGGGAACGTTGGAAGGAGTTCCGCATTCCAGACATTCCAGAGCCAACTTTCCCGCCGGCAGAGCCGATGGAAATCGGAACAGCGCGCGCGCGCGCAGTTTCAAAGCCCAGTGAGGGGGGAAAAAAGGAGGGAAAAGGCGCACGGAAATGCTATCTCTGCCAACAGCCAGGTCACTTTGCCAGAGTCTGCCCCCAGAGGAAAGAATGGCAAGGGATGGTAGGAGCTGTGGATGGAAGAGAGGAAGATATACCGGAGCAAGTAAAAGCCAACGCCTGGCTGCCACTGTCGGGGCACAGCAGCCAGGCCAAAGAGCAGTGAGAGTGCCCACGCCAGAACCTCCTAAACCCGCCCTAGTGATAGAAGTGACGCTAGAGCTGCCAAACGGACACCCTCTAAAGATAAAGGCGCTGTTGGACTCAGGCAGCTCCTGCAATTTCATGAGCAAAGAGTTTGCAGCTGAACACCAGATACAGACGATCCCTTTAAGCAACCCCCTGCAGGTGACCACGATCGATGGCAGGGAGCTGTTGGGAGGGAAGTCAGCTTGCAGACCGTCCCAATGATAATGAAGGTAGCAAGGCACACCGAACTGATAGCTTTTAATGTGGCCACCTTGGGAGGAGCTCCCATTATATTGGGGATGAGCTGGCTAGCGTTACATGATCCGCTGGTGGGCTGGCATCAGAGAGTGGTTTCTTTTGGTTCAGCACATTGCTTAGAACACTGCAAAGAGGGAAAGGGTTTGGCAGGGGTCCAAGCCACCCTAGCAGGGACTGAAGTAACAGAGAACGTGAAGGTACCACGACAATATGCAGATCTCCGTGACGTCTTCAGCGAAAGGGAAGCTGACCAACGCCCCCCGCAGAGACCCTTTGACTGTCAAATCAATTTACTCCCTGGAGCACAGCTCCCTGTAGGCAAGCTGTACGCCATGTCAGACAGAGAGATGCAGGAGTTAAGAGAGTTCATTGACAAGAACCTGAAGAGAGGGTTCATCAGAGAGTCCAGGGCGGTGGGGGCAGCCCAGTGTTTTTGTGGATAAGAAAAACACGAACAAGCCGAGGCTGGTGTGTGACTTCAGGGCCTTAAATGCAGTGTCAGAACCAGTAGCCTTCCCTATGCCCAGGATTGACGACATTTTGACAAGGGTGCGGAAGGGAAAGATTTTCACAAAGCTGGACCTAAGGGGGGCGTACAACCTGGTACGAATAAGGAAGGGGATGAATGGAAAACCACTATGTTCACCCCTTTAGGGGCATTTGAATATTTGGTTATGCCCTTCGGCCTACAAGCAGGCTCCGCAACATTTCAATCGTTTATGAACCACGTCCTGGGGCCTTTGCTTTACAAGAATTGTGTGGCCTTTTTAGACGATGTGTTGGTGTATTCTGAGAATGAGGAGCAGCATGTGAGAGACGTCAGAGAAGTGTTGAGCAGGCTGCAAGCCAACCAGCTGTGGGTGAAACTGGAGAAGTGTCAGTTTCATACCAAGGAGGTGGAATTCCTGGGGTATCGCCTGTCTGACAAGGGATTGGCCATGGATCTGTTACCATAAAGCACCAATGCTGCAGCAAGCAAAGGCTCTAGCAGCTCAGCCAGCTGCTTGTGGCTGGAAAGCCAGGCAGGATGTTTGTGACTGTTGCCATGGGAACAAAGGGGCAGTCCATTCTGTACTGAGCACCGGATGTTAGCTCAGTGTGTGTGTGTCATATGACCCGTACTGGATGTACTTGGGAGGAGTTTACTTCTTGCTGTTGTTGAGTGCAGACATAATTCTCTGTACTGATGTAAGAGGCAGAAATAAATGATGTAAATAGTTTTCTGTCTGCTTCTTTCCCCTCCCTGGGGACACCAAAGGGGAGAGAGGGAGAACGGTGTGTTCCTCTCATACATCTGAGAAGAATCGCCGGACCTCGCCTGCTTATCAGCAGAGTGGAGACGCAGGGAGGTCGACAGGAATATCTGCCGGTGCCTACGCTGTGGCACATTCCTCTGACCCAGGCAGAATTCCAACAGTGGCAGCCTTCGGATGGTTGCGATTCATCGGACATCTGCATGAGAGGCTGGTGGATTGTCCTCCTCTGCTCCAAGGGAGAAGGCAAGCGTCTGAAAGAAGCCAGAGGCTCCACAGACAGCTGGTGGAAAGAAGAGGTGTTTTCCCAAGCAACGGAGCTCAAGGTATGCTGCATTTCGGGCTAAAAGTGTGAACGCAGGAAGATTAATTCCCTGGTTCACGGAGCTGCGTTTCAAAGAAAACAAAAGCTCCGGAGGAAGAGGCCTGCAGCTTGAAGGCTGAAGCCTGCATTCCACAAATTTTTGTGGTAGATAAGGAGTCCCATTGAAATGCATTGTTGCTAGGCAACGGTCCTGGAAAGTTACTGGCAAGGGGCTGGACTCTGAGTGTGAGCCTGGGAAAGCGAAACAAAATCAAAGAATGTTTCGGCTACAAGGTTTACGAGCTCTTGGAAGGGACTTTTCAATAGCAGCCTGAGTTTAGCTGCCAGGTGCAAAGAGCGTAAACAATTTGCAGTTTGCTGCGTGAGAAAGAAAAAACAGCTGTTGGATTTTGCAGCTTGTTTGGAGGTGAGAGAGGCTTGGCTTCAAGATGGATGCCAAGAAAGGGGAGGTTTGCCTTGCCCACCTCCCTTAACCAATGACAATTATTCATCTTGGTCTGTAAAGATGAAGGCCCTGCTGCAGAATCAGAGGCTTTTGATGTAATTGAAAACCCCATCCCTGCAGCACCAACCAGAGGTTGGGAGTCACAGAATGTAAGGGCCAGGACTGCTATAATTCTGTGTGTCTCAGATGATCAGTTGGTGCATGTTCAGCATTTAGAAAATGCGAAAGAGGTATGGGACACGCTGCGTACAACGCATCAGAGAGATGCTGGTTCTTCAGCGTTGCTGTATTTTGAGAAATTGACCAACCTGAGACTTGCGCCTGATGGAGATGTTCAAGCGCACCTGACAGAAATGAAGTTTCTGCGTCAACAGATGGTGGAACGCAATTTTCGTCTTCAGGAGGAAGTGTTTTGCTTCATGATGATAAACAGCCTTAGCCGCACCTACAAGGTTGTTGCCAGTCAGCTTGGTTCCCTACCGGCCGCGCAGCTGACCGCGGAGAGAGTTTGTGCTGTGGTCCTGAATGAACACGACAGACTTGCTGCACTGGAAGAAAAAGACAGGGGAGGGAAGAACAGAGTTCTAATTCCCCACTGCTAATGCTACTGGAGAGCATGGTGTAGCATTGAGTGCTGTCCGATGCTACAATTGTGGACAGACTGGGCATCTACAGCGAAACTGTAAGAAGCCGCGCCAGTCAAGAGGAGCAAAGAGCAGCTCTACGAAGCCTCAGGCGTCAGGCAAAAGCCGTACCAAGTGCCAGGTGAAACCTGCAAAGGCTATGATGGCGAAAGGAACCACGCCAGATGTTGGGAACTCGTTCATAATCGACACGGGCGCCACGGTTCACATGTGCCCGCACAGAGGACTGTTTTCGACGTTGAAGAAGCAAAGCTTCACTGTGAAACAGGCCAACGGTCAGGAGTTGGAAGCGACTGGAATTGGGACTGTGTATCTTGAGAGTCTGAACTTGACTATAAGTGATGTTTACCTGGTTCCAGAACTGAGATTTAATCTGCTGAGCGTGTCGCAGATTGCAAAGAAAGGACTGAAACTGTCCTATGATGCTAAAAGCTGC